GAATCTGTTTCCAGGCTCTAAAAGAATTGCTAAAGAAAGGACTTTTGGAGAAATGTTGATGCTAACCAACTCTGTTTGAGCTGTGGTGTAATTCTGAGTCCGCTACAGTTAACTAGGCAAAGGGGGCTCCCACCGAAGCAGACCTACACTATTTCCCAAGGAAAATGCCAGGGTAAAAGTGAAAGAGAAGAATTAAGTGAACAAATACTATACTTTAGGCAGACCATGTCAATGACGTCTGGAAAGAGCATCTTTATTTTTGCTACAGTCTCTGATTTTGCTTCTCTTTCTTCAAGGGGACTCTAAAGACAATCTTAGCATATCAAGTGACAGTGACATTTGAAAATAAAGAAAAGAGCTTTAAAAAATTGTGATAATCTGTAACTTTTTGATTTTTTATCAGAACTAAAATTTGAAACCACGGTGACACTATTATGACAAAGCCCTAAGTAGATGTTTTGCTCATTCTTATTTGCCCAACAACTGAACCATTGGCATTAAAAAAAAAAAAAAAATACAACTACGTTTCTTTCATTCACATAAGACAACTTTGTAGACCATGTTTATATAGGTTCTTCCTAAATTGTGAATTCTCTTTTCACATTTATGGCTTCCCACTGGATTCAAAAGGGAACCCAAATCTTCTAGAGCATCTTTAAGATTTGTATTTGTACGGCAGAGAGAAGGGCAGAGGGAAAAGAAAGAGCAGAATTTGTTTCCTGTATTCTGAATCCCAAATGAGATTGCATTTTTCACATTATATTTTTGCTGACTGTGTATCTGATCCATAATGAGGTACTATGAAATAGTGTCCCTCTGCTATGGTATGGTTAAGTAAATTTTGTGGCTACTTTAGGACTATAACCACCATTACCATCATTTATTGCACTGTTTGGGGCAGTTAAGTGTCAAAAACATTAGAGAAAGGTTTGAAAAAATAGTACCAGTACGTAAAGACTAAACATTAAAAAAAACAGTCCAAATTTTAGTAAGTACTAATTTTAAAAAAGGAAGCAGTATCAATGGCCTAATTAAATTTTTAAAAATCAGTATTTTCTTTAAAAAGTCATCCTAAATTCACACTTTTCCTTTTAGTTCTACATAATTGAAAAGTCTTTGCAAAAGTATGCTGTCTAGAGCTTAGCTCCTACAAGGCATTTTAACAGTACCGCTTTGCTCTTCCCAGGAGATTATCACGTTATACAACGTCCAGGAGTGTAAACCCAGCACTTTGTCCTTTTCTCTCCATATCCAAGAAAAAAAAAAATCCAAACAAAAAAACTTGGAAAGTTTTATGGTTCTCTTCCCATGAAGTTAACTTTTTATCCATCTTCCTTTGCTAACCACACAAACCACTGGCATATTTAAGGCACCATCTGCTCACTGGGCCTGAGGGAAAATCTGGAAGTTCATTCACTCACTACCTGATTTCCAAGCTTAGTTTCCCCTCCGCGAACCCAGATTGGATTTTTGGTTTGTTTCCAAATAATCTCAACACCCAATCTAAGCATCCAAGCCTATTCTAATATTCAACGCTTATAAATTTCTTTATTACCAACCTTGATCCCTTTCTTTACCTCACATTTCTGGAAAAGTGCAGGATGTCTACCTTATTTACAAATATGTTACAAATCTGAAGACAGCTAGAACATTTTCACTAGGCTAAACTATTCTAACACCTCTAAGAGTGCTTATAGATGTCACATTCAAACCCCATAGAGACATGCTGTTACTCTCCTCTGATCTACGTCAAGTCTCTCTACAGTGAGCCATGTGTTCATTCTTCCTGTGCCCAGATAACATTTCTAATATTAGGTAAAATCAAACAGAACCTTCCCTCCTACTGACAAGATTCTGTCAATTTCCTACCCTTCTTTCCAGTTCTCTTGCCTTCCCTAAACTTAGAGACCTAGTTTTTCCAAAGTTGACAAGGAGATAAGATAAATGCTAATACTGAAGATACTACTACTATAAAAATCAACATAACTTCTTAAAGGATGAACGGGGAATAACTTCATAGTCTTTAAACAACAGAACCAAAATTTCATAGAGCGTAATTTTTAGATTTCCAGGGGAAAAAAAATGGGTATTGGTTTTCAGTTAGCATTACAGCCTTTGTTAAATCAAAATCTAAGAAAGGAAATAATGATGTTTTTAGAGTCTTAACCATGTATTACAGCAATCTGAATTTTAGTCTTTTCTTGAAACATGTAAAAAAAATATTCAGCAGCAAATAAGTCACCTATTTGGATTTTGAAAAACTGAATTGAGTTTCATTTACAGGCAACATAAATTCATAAGTACTTAAATTCACGTTTTTCATTACTGAGCTTTAAATACAAAGATCTTCAGTTTCCAAAGAGCTGAATAAGAGGATTTCTCATGAAAGCAAAAGACATTTCTCTTGAGGCACAATCCTCCAGTCCCTTGGCTCTGTCGCACACAGAACAGGAGGTGGTGTCCTGGAAAGGAAATGTCTCGTTGCCACTCTTCAGGTTCAATACTGTTATACTGAACACGAGGTCCAGCATCAGATCTGCCATCACTTCATAACACATAAGGGTCAAAATCCATATTTCAAAGATAAAATTTCTGAGCTTGATCAAGTCACACTCACACACACACACACACACACACACACACATTTATATGTGATATATATACACAAACACACACACACATATATATATATACACATACAAACACATATACACACACTCTCTCTATGATCATCTACTGTGCACATACACATATACACACACTCTCTCTATGATCATCTTCCTATCTTCACTCTTCCCCACTTTACTAATAGTGGGGACAAACTGTGCTGAGCTGTACATATGACCAACATTTGACATACTCTCAATTCTCTAAACACTCTCCTCTAAGCTGGCCCGTTGCTTTCTAGTAAAGCCCAACTTGAAGGATGTACTTCACTACTTCACATGATGCCATTAAAGTATTTCTCCTGCCCTCTATCTCAGTTCTTAACATGGCAGCTGGTTGGGTATCCTGATGATATCTAAATTTCTCTTGTCCAGAGTTATTATATCCAAATGATACACTCTTCAGCAGCACAAGTTCCAATATAGTGAGAGGAACATAATAGTTTCAAGTAATGGAATGGAATTTAAAATATGTGAGTTCTGGTCTTGACTTGGCCACTGCCTCGCTGTGTTGAATCATCTCACCTCTCTATGTATAATGAGTCGTCTATATATGAGGTATGGAAACAGTACCTACGCTGTCATGGGGCCCCCACTGACTACAGTACTCAGTCCCAATGAGACCAAACAAACCCTCAGAATTCTAAACAGTGCTCCAGGGGGCCCTAACCACTCAGTAACATTTGGTCTGTAGAGTCAATATGTGAAATTCCATGTATGCTCACCTAAGCCAGATCTAATATAGTTTAAAATCACCCCTGTTCTATTCTCATCATTGGTCCTTGCTGTCTCAATTATATCAGAATAGATTCTCTGGAATCTTTAGTTTTCATTTTTCCGTGATCAAAATGTGGTTCAAAAGAAATGAGAGAGACAGACAGAAAGATGGAGACAGAGAGAAACTAAAGAAAAAACAGAGATTCTCAGAGAAGTCTCAACAGAAGCAATGATTTTCCTATTAGAGAAGCGCTTCTCACTGTTCCAGACTTTTATTTGCAAACCAACATTTCATATTGCATTCTAGCATCTAGTTAACATTAGTTTTTGTTTTGTTTATTAAATATGCATATACACACAGAGCCAACATTCTGCTCATTTCTTGAAAAAAAAATTTTTTTGTGTGTGAATCAGTTTAACACTCCCCACTATGCCAGATCATCTGTTCACCTGGCTTGAAATCAAATCACAACTGAAGTCTAAGCTTTCAAATTCCAAAAGCAAAATTACCAACTATGTGATAATGTCTCATACATACTCTAAAAAAAATATTAAAAGAATGAAAACAAAATTAAGACCAGTCTGGATAACAGTATTTTCTTATTAAATACTCCATTCAGACATGCACACATATTAAGCATATTTTGTAATACAGGGCCAAAGTATATACTGCCTGTCTTTCAGCCGTTCCTCGCCTATGGCAGACATCACTAATCAAACACAAACTTTTGCTCTGAACCTGGAAGCAGCCTGAAAATCTTTCAACACTGTACTCCAGGTGATTCTCACAAATGACCAGTGTTGGCAGGTGAGACAACATCCACTTTCTGTGAGGAAGAGACTGAGGGCAAACAAGACTAATCCTCTCTGTTGGCTTAATCACTCCAAAAACTCAAAGCACCCTCCTCCCAAATGGTTAGGCACCACCTCATTGTAGTGAAAATAAAAGTGGTGAGAAACGTTTGTAACTACAAAGATTTTGAAGAAGATCTAGCCCCGCCCTCCCATTCATCAGGGAGAATAGTGAGGCTAAGAAAATGAAAGACTGTCCAACTTCACAGGAGGTAATAGGAAAACTAGATAATAGGAAAAGAGGATGAGTCTGAGTTGAAGGACCTTTTCTGTGTCTCAGTCTGTGCCAGAGCTGGCCGTGAAGGTTAAGGAAAAGGGTGTTTCATGTCTTTAGTTAGCTTCCTCCTGTTCTCCTATTTCCAAGAGAGTACAACTAGCTTTGGTGTGCATTGCTTATATTTCCTCTCACCATCTGTCTCTCAAAAATAAACATGTTTTTGCGGCCAAAATGGAAGGGAAAGAAAGCCCGTAGACTTCACATTTGCTAATGTGGCAAAATTATATACTCTCCCAAGACAGCCTTCTACATTGGCACAATGGTCCTCAAACCTTCAAGTCTACTCAAGACCTACAATAGATCATTGGACTTTTATCCAATGATCTTAAAAACTGGACTTCAGCTATCGGATTCTGGAAGAGCTTATAACATTTAACCTCTACCAATGAGCACATGTGATACAGAAGCTACCGCGCAATATTTCATGTTAATATTCAGAAGAAAATCAATATCATAACTTTAAATTTTTCTATGCTTTAAAGAACACACACAAAGAACCTGCTAAAATCCCCAAATATGAGAGATTCATTATCTTATATATCTTGAGTCAGCCGCTTTAAAACTTGGTAATGTTATTTCCATAGGATCTCAAAGTACTGAGAACCAGATGCTTATTTTACATCAGCACATATCAGCACTTCTGTGACCTCAGAAGTTCTTAAATGATACCACAAACAGTACCACATCACAAAGAACTGAGCAAAGCAAGAAAATGTTCTTTAAAAAAGGGTTCAAATGCTCAGTCTAATATAAATCGAAACACTGATCAAAAGATTATTTCCTAACATGACCCATCCCTGTAAGGAAAATTTCAGCTCGAAATGATTTTTTCATGTTTTTAGGTAATCTTCAAAGAGTATACATTTTAATATTTTTGGATATAATACAATGAGTAAAATAACTAAAGATATGATGTTTTCACTCTAATTCTAGGAGAGTATTTTGCTATCCTCATATAACTATAAGCTACATACACAAAAAACTACTATTTAATCAGAAATTAGACCACCAAATAACCTTTGATAGTAAAGTAATTTCATGTGCCAAAACCATCGACAATGCTGAATTATACTGAGTTCTGAAACACAGAAAATATACAATAAAATTGGTTCTATACAGAATCATTCACAACTTAAATATGTCCAAGAAATACTACAACATAAGTTACAAGTTACAAAAATAACAATCAAGAGATGCCAAGTCAATTTACTGAATAAAATTGAAGCATGCTTACAAAGAAAAGAATCAAACCAGAAATCGTCGACCTACTTCTTTTCCCAGTAAACGTGGCTAACAAAGGAACTATACAAAGGCTGTAGGATCCCAGGACCAGCAGTGTTAATAAGGTAGCGTCATAGTGCCTTGCTGAACCAGCCGGTGGTGTGAGTGTAGAATTGATAAATATTTTCGAAGAAATATCCGTTTCTGTACAACTGCGAAATCCCCCTGGTATAGTCATTTAAAAGGATCAAAGCAAGCTTAAGCAGGAAAAACTGCAGCCATGTTCACTCTCATATCCCTCATGCTTGCTCTTAGTGAATGAGAATGGAGGAAAAAAAATCTGTAAGCTCCAAGGCACTACACAAAACAGATTAAACCAACTAGCAAATCAAACTAAGAAAGAGACTCATTGATGTGAATGCTTAATCTGCAACAGGGACACATCGCCACTAGACAGGCTCTGTGGGTATACGGTAAACCCCTTTGTTAAAAGACAAAAAGCGACGGACAAAAGCATTTTACAACCTCCTTAGGAGTGTCAGACACGGTACGGAAACAGTGGCCAAGTCAACATGGCTGTCAATGGAAAACGCTGGGTGGCGGCACTGCAGAACGTGTCTGCTTCAAGTGTCACAGATTCCAGCGCTACACAGTCCTCCCAGAACATGCTGTTGATTCTGTTTTGGCCGTTTGCTTTCAAAATTCACACTGCTAACAGACAAAGCTGCAAGTGAAATGACCTTAAAATAATACATGTGTGAATTACCTTTTCAAATCTGGAGAGAATTATGTTACATGCAAACCCTTCTGATCTCATGCCACAACTCCAAAATTCAAACAACAAGCAGATAATAACCCTGCTTAATTTTCAGTAACATTTTCCAATATTCCTAAAGTTCTGGTACACAGCTACTTACTATCATATGAAACCAGCTACTGCTGCTAAGTGAGCTCTCGTAAGTATCCTCATTAATTCAGTCATTAATTCAATGCCTTACCCTTCACAGACACATTCTCAGCTCTGTCACAGACAGAATTGTTTGGCTGAGCGCCCTTGGACCAGTGACAACCTCTCTGAGCCTCAATTATCTTATATATAAAATCAGAGTAACATAAGTTACTTCAGAAAAAAAAATAATGTATGGTAACCCTGTAATAATGCTCTAGACTCAGATGGTTCAATAACCATGACTCCACCTTGTCCCTGTCCCCTCACCAGAAGGAAGAAATTAATCCCTCTTTAAAGAAGAGAGAACTCCTTTCTTCTCCACCACACCCTTATATCTTATTTTATCTGGCATTCTAGTTATCTATATAAATCTTCTTTCTCCAGCTATCTTTCAGATAAAGACTAATTTCTTTTATATCCTGTATCTCTCACTGCATTTACTGTGATGTCAAAATGCTCAAATTAACTAATCCATGAATTTTGTGAGGAAATTTAAAAGAAAATGAGCAAATACTAAGACAAAATGCATATTTTTTTTTCAACAAAAAGAATATAATACAAAGGATTATTAACTAGGGATAAATTTGCTGACTGTATCACCAACAATTATCATTCTGACATACTCTCTAGGGTGACACTTTCAGCAAGTAGTTTTTAAAGGGCATCTTTTGAATGAAAGGAATAGCTCAATTCGTCTATTTTATGCAGCCTTTTCTGTTTGCAGTGTGAATTTTAAGAGCAAATGGCCAAAACAGAATCAACACAGAAAACAGAATTCACATTAACTGACAACTTCAAAAATATTCTCTTGAGTTTAAATTACTTAAAATTAGGTTAGAAGTTACACTATATGTGCTAGTCATATTGCACTGAATCTAGCATCCACAGTATATAAAATATACATCTACAAAATATAGTCTTTTACAAAGTAAATGGAACTGAAGTTATCTTTTCTGATTTCCATTTGGGTTCCAAAGCTCCTAGCTGGATTGCTTTCTTTCCTTAAACAAACCAAAAACCATCACCACTTCAAATGATGCACTTTAGAATCTTCATGCAAAAAAATACCACGTGCCTTCAACCTTCAACATAGAAATGCTTCAGTGTTTCATAACACATCCATCAAAGAGACTGTCACTGAAAGAATATTTTTCCTGCCAAATTTTTAGAGCAATCCTAAGCAAGAAATAGTATGCGTATTTTGCCCTAAATCACAGAATCAAAAATTCTGACAATTATTTGCAGTGCGCTAGTTTTTCTTATAACTAGAATTTCAGCCACCCCCAAAGGCTGACATAAGGTGGACTCACGATTGTTGCTGTAAGTGCTCAGATCGCTGTGGGTGCTGCCAATGGAGGAGGTGCTTCCGGCCCTCCACAGCACAGACGTTTGCAAGGACACCTTGGATTTAGGAAGCGGTCTAGGTAAATTCACCCAGGACTGCTGTGCAGTTTTCAGTGATGTAGGTTTTCCTTGGGGTTAAAAAAAAAAAAAGTTGCCACTGCTTTTATTTCAAAAGTTTTAAGTTTGTAAACTCAAACAAACTCCTGCACAAACAACTGAGTCAAACTATAAAATGAACATTCAGAACTATATAACCTCAGATGAAATCTTCACATCAACTTATTTTTGATAATTTAGAAGCCGAAGAGTAGAGAGGATGGTGATATGAGAAGGGTGGCTGTAACCCTGTAACCTCAAGTAATTTATTCACATCTCCTGTGACAGAGATAGATCAGAAGAGCCATATGAGATAGAAGCTTTGTCAAAGTTGAAATCAAAGAATAAACAAATTAATATAACATCCCCTCCATACTATTGATTAAAAAGTAAAAACTGAGCCCATTCATGCACTAGGCTACCATACGAAAAGTAGGTGAAAATTTTAAAACAACCAAAAAGGAAAAAAATTCAATTTGATGAGGAAAAACTTCATTTAAAAAAATGCCTCATGTCTAACACCAGATGGTGCTATGTTATTAGTAGTAGTCTTTTTTTTTCCTGTCATCTTTTCACCTTTATTCCTTATTTGCCTAATTTAGATGAGCTTTGCCCAAACTTTTCTTTCCTGCAGCAAAAGTGGCTCCACTTATCAACAAAATATGCATGTTTCACATTCTCTGGTATCTTTGAACCCACACCATCTTGATGCTCACACCTGCTTCCTGAACATGGGCATCTCCCAAGTTCAAGCCTTTATTCAAAACCTATTTTATTTACTTCATTCCAACCTCTTCCCTACATGGATGAATCCCCAATTCTCACTTGCAACCCTATCTTCCTCCTAAATCCCAAATGCCACTCACATTTTAAATTTCTTGTTGAATGTTTCAACTTGGACAGTTAGACAACTCCTACCTACTTAAACTCATTTAGCTCCATTTTTCCTTTTTCCCAGCCTCATAACATTGGAATCAGCTTTCCCCTCCCAGATTCCCATTTAATCTAGCACCAAGTCTCTCGATGCTGCTACATCACATAACCAAAGACTATCAGGAGTCGAAAAGACCTTAGATGAATATGATAGTGCCACATATTACTAATGGCACCATAAGTGAGTAATCTGTTTGAAAAGTGACACTCATTACTTTGTCCCAGTACTTTCACCTACGAAAATCTCATCTTAAAAGAGAAAAAAGAGCTTAAGGCTCCTCAGGTCTGGCATTTAAAGTCACCCACGTTAAAGTTCTACCCGTTTCCAGCCTCACCTCTGCTCTACTCTACATCAGCACGCGTTTTGTTCCAAACCACCTGCTATTCACTCTGACACCAGATGTTACTGTTCTAATTCACTAGGCATATCATTTTTTCAAAGAAGTCTTCTTCTTCTCAAGCCAAGTCCTACAAATCCTTATTAACCCCCTCATATTTTGCCTAAACAACTGTATTGGACGCCTAAAGTCCTGGCTTTCCATCCTTTCCAAGTGTATCATGTTGATCTGAACATGAAAACTAAGGTCATGACTCAATCTAAACTCTCTAATTCTCCACTGTCTACAGGATAATGATTTTATTTTAATACTCTTAATTAATATTTAATTTTAAAGGCATAAAAGCCAGTCCTAGGGTTGGTTTCCACCAACTTCTCTCTTATGCTTTGGCATGCCCCCATCCCTCTACATACCCACACCCCCGCACACACATACCCCATATTTTTATATCTCTAGATTATTTGACTCTATTCTGCTTATAATCGCCTTTGTGAATGAAATGGCCTCCTTCCCATCTAGTCCTTTATCTTGTCTGATGAATACAAAGTCAATAGGTGTTTCTTTCAAATCCTTGCCACTCATTTGCGGCCTCACCCCAGATCTATGAATCACAGTCTCTATTTCAACAAGATCCCAAAGTGATTCGAATACACAGTAAGTATGCAAAGCACTGTTAAGAATCACGACCTCTTTGTAAAGCCTTCCCTTCCAGGGCATCCTCCTGTGTGTGCAAAGGACCACACCTTCTTTACACTCATACCGATACTTGCTTCAGTTTCAATGTCTCCGGGCCAGTCTCTACATGAGAACAGGAAGAGAACCTCATTCTCTTCTGTTCCTTAGGGCCTAGTGAAGCATCTAGCATAGAGTAAGATTTAATAAATGTTTGCTAAATTAATTTTTCAGGTTACGAGTAAGCTGCGGGGAATAGAAAGGGTTCAAATTTTCAGCTATCAGGTCAATACAGTCTGAGGATCTAATGTAAAATGTGGTGACTACAGTTGATAACACTATTATGTAACTGAAATTTGCTAAGAGAGAACTTGATGGTGGAAGCTCTTTATAATGTATACATATATCAAATCACCACAATGTACACTTTGCATATCTTATAATTTGTCAATTATACCTCAGTCGAGCTAGGAAAAAAGTTAATGTATAATTATAATAAAAGTGATAAAGCCATTAAATTTTTTTAAAGGCCAGAGTAAATAAATTTAATGTCTTATTGTCTACATTGAAGCATTAAACACTTAATCAATTTTTATGAGCTTATTTGTCCTTTGTTAAAATTAATAAGCTCTTCAAACAGTATTAACTAAAAGGAGATGCTTTTCTTTACAGTCCTATAATTAATAAGTAATACTCAAATATCCACTTTACTTTTTAATTTACATTTAGCCACTAGTGTCACTTCCTTAGAAAAACAGATTTTGACTATATATTTAACAAATTGGTGCACCTTCAGCAAAATCATTCTGATAAGTCATCATCATCAGAAATAATGAGCAAGGTTAGGCAAGTATCAGATGAAAATTTCTGGACCACAGCCACAACGCAGTCAAGGATCAATGAGTTTAAAAAATTAACTTATTTTTCAGAGAGGGATGTTTCATAGTATTGTTTCTAAAAGCATCGTAGGTTTACAGACATTTCTCAGCATGCGTCAGAATTACTACAGATCTGCACCCTCTCTGATCCCAACACACCCTGGCACCAGAAGCGAGCTTACCCAAGCTCAAGGAGCTGCCCTATCCCATCTCACAAAATGCACTGTCAGCCCTATCCATCCCACCCCCTCCACCTAATAGCAACTTACAGTCCTAGCCAAAGTCTTCTTCATTCTACCATTACACAATCTTGACTGTTGGCCACTGAGGGTACTGAATAATGCCTACTTCACCAAAGGAACAGCTCCTCTGAAACTCAGAATTATCCTAACAGTACATTACTATTACTATCACTATCCCCAGTTTATAGATGAGAAAACTATTTAGGTAGTTAAATGGCTTATGTGGGAAACATACCTAACCAATGACACTCAGGCCTAGAATACAGGCAACTTATCACTAGCCCTATGCTCCCTCTACTGTGCCATGAAACAAAAGCATCCCAGTTAAGGGGAAAAGTGTCAGGCTTGGAGGTCAACCTCCAAGAAAATGCAGAAGAAAATGCAGTAGAAAAAAACGCTGGGGACAGAACAAGGCATGTAGTTGTTTCACCAGCGGTCCCAATGTTTAACTTAATAGCAAAGTTGGCCTAAAGTACTTGTACTGCTTCATATAAAGCAGTAAAACACAATATAGTCATAAAAAAAATAAAATCATTAAGGAATACCTCGCAAATCTAAAAATCCAGTAGATTTATTAAGTGAAAAATGGATGTTAATATTATCCTATTTTTTAAGTATACTATCTATATATTGAAAAATTCCAGAAGAGTATATTTTATGGGATTGTTATGGGATAAGAGCACAGTGGGACATGGAAGAAAAGAGAAGCAAAGAAGCAGAAATGAGAAATGTTCCCTTCATACTTTATATACTTACATATTGCTCATTTTCTTTTTACAATCAGCATATTTTTATAACTAATAAACACTGTTAAAGTCAATGGGGCCAAATATTTAATCAGATAAAAAGTACTTAGGACAAAACATAAAGAAACCAAGAAAGAATAAATTGGATCAATAATTAGATTTCGATAACCATTTTTATTCCTTTACATCTGTAAGCATTAGGTATTCTTTAACTCTCTTAATCTTACTTCAAAAAAAAAAAAAAAACTAAAGAATCCAATTCCTAAATTGATGTTTTTATATGGCTCTGATGAAAATGGTCACTTTACTACTGGAAAATTCTTTATGATACCATAATGGTGTGTTTCCTAGGATTGGAAATTAAAGCCAAAGAATGAACTTCTAAATGATACTCCTTTGTTCTGACACATATTAAATGATTCAGTCTCTAGAAGAAAGCCCCCGGGGCCTTCACAGATGTGTAATCTCTCAGCTCTAATTCGGCATTCTCCATTCTTCAAGGAAAGGCCTGAGAAAGAAGGTGGGTCCCACACTGCTCACAAAACACGTTCAAAGTAACGTGAGAAGTTTCCAAAGCCATGGAAACACCTATCAGTCAAAGCACATTCTCATCTCTGAATTCTCAAGAATAAATTCAGCTTTATTTTTCACGCACCGCTGAAAAAATGACTTGCCATTTTTTTACATGTGATGAAATTTATGGGTTTTGAAGACCTTTCTATTAGTTTTTAAAAACGTGACTACTATATTACCTATATTAGAAGACACAGATCATCTTAATAAAAATCTGGACAATGGATTCACATAAGGGGTTCTGTTACACAAGTATTTACTTGCTTACACAGTATGGTAACTGTAAGTAATCACAAAGCTCAAATGTATAGGGTGCTAAAAACACCTGACATCTTACTACAGAAATCACTACCAAAAGTTTTCAGTAACAAAGAGAATACACTGTCTCATCACACTGAAATATTTTGTCCTGTGATTTGCATTGCTCAGGAGCAGCAAGGGTGTCATGGGGAAGAAGAAGAAAATGAGGCTGGAGAGGAGGACAGTTCACAGTTAGCGTTAAATAGTTAAAGACGGTATTAAATGCCAAGCTAAGAACTTTAGACCTAAATTGTTGGCAGTGGGGTGTGGTGGAGATATGGACAGGGAGGGGCACTGCAGCTTTCTTAGCATTTGCATCAGAACCTGATCATGTGATAGCAGTGTGCAGA